AGGGGAGGAGTTATATGAACTCTATATGCAAGCTTGCAAGCCGGTCTTCGACCTGCTTCGTCAGCACAAGCTAACTTATAAATATATGTTAAATTGTAAAATTGTCATTCCTTATTTTTTATCAGAGTAAAACGTTTGTTAAGTAAAATAAAATTTTTTTAAAAAGTTAATTTTTCATTCCTTAAATTTATCTCGACTCGAGAATACGGCTCCTGACAACAAGCGAATCGGTTTTTTGGTTGCTATAGATAAGATAGTTTTTTATCGACTTATTATCCTCTTTGTGATTGATGACCTAATGTCTGAGGTAGCAAGACATTATTATCGTAATGATATAAATTGTGAAATTTCTTTTTAAATATTATGTAAATTGCATCAATTTCTGCATAACACCGGTCATGATTTACGTAAATATTAACATGTCTGCGACAGCATCTTTCAAAAAAACAATAATTATTAGAATATCATTGTTCAACATTATTTCAATAAAAACATTGTGAAATTTATATTTTATTGATTACTGAAGCTTTGTTTTAAATTTCATAAAATATTACTGGTTCCGAAATACAGGGTGTTAACATAGCTTGGAGTCTCGGAATCGTAAAATTAGGTCGCCTGGCGACAAATACGAGACTGAGGCTACTAGGTTGCAGGTGACTATTATCTTAATACAGGGTACGAAAATAAATGCAGGCAGCAAGCGAAACCATGTATTTCAATATAGAAAATTTGTTTTTTAACGAAGAGATGGCGAGGAATAGACAATTGTCTAAGAGTGAGGATATTTGATATGAAGGTTTTCCATTCATCAACAAGTGTTTGTGGCAGTGGTTCATCCCAACTAAGTTTTCTTTCTATAAATTTTGCATGAAAATTTTTCCTAAAAGAATTACAGGACCTATGAGTCCTAGAGTGTCGAACGTCTGGGCTATAATAGAAATAGATTATCTTTTTAGGATAGGTTCACAATTCAAAGACTCTGGTAGTGAGATTGAAAATATGTCCTTAGCAGGTTGCCACGAAAACCCTAAAACCTTATTAGAGATATATTTAATTTTTATATCTCGTTCCAAGAATTCTGGGCAGTTTGAACACCAATTATGAAGATGAAAACCAGAACAATTTAAGATTTCGTTTAACTGATATGATTTTTCTAAGTAAGGTATGTGCAGTGAATATGCCCATATTAAGCAGAATCCCTGATAAAAATTAGAAACGACAAACCTTTCAATTCGATTTTTTATAGAAAGCGTACCTTTAAACTCAAAGAAGTAATGTTTGGACAGAAATCGATGATTTTTTCTTTGAGATGTCATGTTCCTAAGGATAACAAACTAATAAACAAACCCAAAATTAAAATATTTCTGAAAAACTAAACATTACTTTACACAGGTAAGTAGACAGTAAAATTTCTGATAACCTTAGCCACAGTCTGAACAAACAAAAACTGTCTTATCACCTTTGGTGAGCCCGACGCACTCTTCGTGAAAGTAAACTAAACACATCGAGCACAATCGCATATCTTTTTTTATGTCTTCTTGACAAGCTTTGCAGTACCACGATTCTTTGGGTTTTATTTTTTCTCCTTTATCTTCGTCTTTTAAAACGATTTTTTTTTCTTTGGTAAGTTTTTTTGTGGTTTTGGTGGGAAAAACTGCCTTTTTCACAATAAGCGCTTTGCTGTTAATAGCTTTTTTCTTTCTAGTTGTTTTTGGGACATCTTTATATGGTGTCTCCAACATTTCAGTAAAACTCACGTTTAAAACCTTTTCTTCTGCATCGTTTCTTGTCTTTGTGTTATTTTCTTCCTCTTTAGGCGGGTCCTTTGATTTTTGGTTCTCATCTTCTCTCTGGATGTTTTTGATTGACATCTGGTTTTCTGCGTCCATTTTTAAATTCTTTAACGCCCTTTGTTCTCTGATGTTCGGCCTTTTAGCCTCTTCGTCATCCAATGTTGCCGATTCGTCATCAAGTTTTGCCTCGTCTTCCGAAGAGAACGTTTCTGTTAAGGTATCGCTGTATAAAGACATATTATCATCTGTTGATGAGGAGCTACTTGATGACGACCGTTTTCTCTTACTCTGGCATTTTTGTCCAAAATATTCAGGATAATTGGAGATCTTTGACGGAGGAGTTTTTTCTATGGTGCTTCGGTCATTCCTTTGTTGACATCCAGAGGGTCCAGGTTGGGGTGTGGTTTCCCTTCTAAGCTCTTGTCTTTCTTCTACTCTGTTAATTTCTTCCATGTTATTATCTCGTTCCGTTAAAATGCTAGGAGCAAAAGCTACTTCGGGAATAGCATCTGGATTGTACGGATAGATACCCGTAGCAGAGAAACCTGATGTTATATTTTGGGGTGTTACTGACTTGTCCCAAACGATAGAGAAGAGCTCCCCAAACCTTTGTTTGGTTATAGCTCGGTCTTTGTGGCGAGTCCAGTATAAAAGTACCTGTTCATCCCAATGATGTTCGAAAGATTTAAATACAGCCTTGTCCATTGGCTGCAGTTCATGTGTCGTATTACTTGGGAGACATAAAAGGGTGATGCCATAAGAGTCTGCAGTTTCAACAATAGAAGGATCTAAATGGCAAGATGCGCCATCAAAGATTAAAAGGCAGTTGCCTGGAAGTTTATATTTGCCAAAGTGCTTTAGCCATTCGTTAAATGATTCAATTGTCATGCTTGCTTTCTTCGTCATGAGGACTAGAGTTCCGGGTGGCAAGTTGTCACTCCATTCGCTTTTCATCCTTATGCCTTTGAATAAAATGGCTGGGGGAATTCTTCCTCCACTGGCGTTACCGCAAGCAACGACAGTAACATTTTCCGCATGTTCTGGTGCCACTAGGTGAACCCTTTTTATGCCCTTTTTAGCTAGAATAGTCTGCTGCTGATGTAATGTTAACCTGCACCCCTTTTCATCCATATTATAAATTCTTTCAGGTTTATCCATTAAGTCCAGTTCGAGAAGCACTGTTTTAAGCTTGTCAAAGTAATCGGAAACAATATATTTGTTGAGCTTTTGTGCTCTCGCCGGGTTCATGTTCTGGGCCCGTCTAGGAGAAATCTCTGGGTGTCTATTTAAAAATGCTTTTAACCAGTGACGGCCAGCTAGACGCTTTTCTTGTGAGAACATGTTAGGTAAACCGTTTTGCTCACAATAATGATACACAGATCTTCGAAGCATTCGTTTTGTAAGTGGGTAACCCACCTGCGCCAGCCTGATAATTCGGGCCGCTAATTCTGTTTCTTGGTCTTTATTCAGAACACTTTTTCTACCAAGTGGCTGTTTTACGTTAGCCTTTTTGTCAATATAACGCTTAAGAGTCCTTCGCGGTATTTTATATTGCTTAGATGCTGAGTTTTTCGACTCTCCGTTTTCTACCGCTCTAAGGGCGCGTTTAAGGTCTTCCTCCGTCCACTGAGACCGAATTCCTTTTGTTTTATAAGGTGACATCTGTAAAACAAAAATTTAAACTAATAATAAACGTTCCACTACGAACCGAAGGTAATATGCCCATATGGGCATATTTGCTTCCGATGACGATGGGCGTATTAGCAACAGAGAAAGGTTATGTATTTTTTTAGGTTTTGAAGGTTAATTTCAAAGTATTTTTATTAAAATTATATACTAAGAAAATGGTAAATAGACGTACTTTAAAATGCTTTACTTACAATTTTTGTAAACAAACACACACAAAGTTTACACTCTTTTTAAACACGTGTTATTGTTATACTCGACAGCGCTCAAAACGGGTGATTCATTTTCAGCCACTGGGCAAAGACTAGCAGAGACTGATTTGACTTGTACCGCTGTAAGTGCAAAATCTTAACGCGTTGGTCGCCCTCTATTAGCATATAAGCTAAACTTTTTAAAATGGCAGCGGGTGTGCATATTACCTGCATGGGCATATTCACCGCACCTACCTTACCGTAAAATGGGGTGATTAGGATCAGCAGGGCGAATAGGATTGAAAGTTACTCTTAATTTTCAAAAATTTGCAATAATTCAAATTCGAAATAGAAGGTCTCTCCAATGCACAAATGTCAATGAGTTATTGTTAGATGTAGTTTCTGTGACATAAAACGTACGAAAGCTGGGCAACATCGCATGCTGTCTACCATAACCTCAAATGTGAAATTAAGCCGCGAAAATATTGTCCCAGAAAGTTGAAAGGTCTAGTTAAACACAGAACTTAAAAAAGGTGAGTGTTATTATTTTTAGTAACTTTTTTTATTACTTATGTGAAATCCGTACGAAAAATCCATAATTAGCAACAGGTTTTTATTTTGTAAAGTATCGTTTATACACACTTATAACCCCATATATAAATAATATATTCGTTGTCATTATTTTAGATGCAAAACGATTTTTTAAACATGCATTTTTTCTACTATAACTTGAAAAAATTACTCACCCTAAACAAATGTTTTCCAAAATGGTTAATATCGTATTTTGGTAGTTATTTATAAATGTTAGCAAAATTACAACGTTATAACGAAATTTATGATAATTCACATGTTCTCCAAAACTAGTCATAGGAGAACTTTGTCCCCATTGATCCTTTTAATCAGGAGGTCTATAACTGCAACATGTAAAATGCAGAAGATTCGATTAAAAGCCATTTGCCATAAGGAAACTGGAAGTCCTTTTGTTTTTGAGAAAAAATAAAATCTAGGTACAACTTCGAATAAAAAGACTTATATGGTTCTTAAGATCTTATGTAAAATTGTTCTTTTATTAATGAAAACAATAAAAATAAAAACAAATCGTCTCTATTATTAGCCAACAATTATTAAAAACATGTTTCTATTAAAAGAAATATATTAAAATTTCGAAATTTGTGTGACTAAAATTGCAAACCCATTGTATATAAACAAAATTAGATAAGCAGCTACTTTTGTTGGCAAGTTAATATTATTATACCCTTTCATCATACTAACCGAAGCCTAGCAACTATTTAAACCGATTAACAATATTGATTAAATCATTAATAATTTGCACAGCACAGAAAGCACATCGAGATTCAATTTTACCTTGTATCTCAAATTTTTAAATTAAAATAAAGTGCTATTAAAACGCGATTTTTGATCAATTAATAACCGGAAGAATGGCTAAAGTTGTGTCATCGTTTTTCTCAACACTTCTGCCTCGCGCTTTGTCGTCTTCAGTGAATGTTGAAAGTGATGTTCGAGAACCGTTAGAGATACATACTTTTAGGGATAGAGTCATAACTATGGAAGAAGTGTCATGCCATGATTCCTCTAAGGATTGTTGGATTATCATCTATGATAGAGTGTACGATGTGACGAATTTTTTGGAAGAGGTAAATATTTGTTTTTTATTTATTTAAGTCGATTAAAAATTGATGATTGGCTTTTATACCAGGGTTGATAATTTTTAAAACCAAGAAAAAAAATAATAGGATGAAACGCATTGGAAATGGAAGAGAATATAACAAAAATTAAAGGAAAAATAATGTATGGGCATCTGAGGCCTGGAAGTGAAAGGGTGTGAGTTTTTAAGGGTAAAAACGGTTTATCTCGATTTTCGGCAAAACTACAAGTCCTATGGAAAAAAGTTAAATTGCAGAATTGTAGGTAATAAAAAGATCTACCACTTTTGTATTTATACTTTTTTCACATAACTTCAAAATTTATGTGAAATATTCAAATGACCAAGTTTTTGATTTTTGATCTTTCTTTTACAAAAAAATTATTTTCACGAAATTTGGTGAAAACTTACAATTTTATGTCAAATATACACTATTTTTTTTATTTAAAATATTTATTTTTTCACCTTATTTTGACTTGACTTAATATCGAAAAAGAACCCTAATTTTCAATCGAAAATTCTCCCGTCAAAATATCTGCTTTTTTAAAAAAATCGGTGGGCTTTTTGTTCGCTAAAATCTCTGATGGTGTAAAAAAGTATATATATTACTATGATAAATGTTCTCAGAAAATCTAAACAAACGAAAAAAAGTCGAATTCGAAATTTTTTTTAATCATTATGTACAATTTTGAGCCATTTATTAAAATTTACCCTTTAATTACTAGAAAAACGTAAGACTTTATGTTAAATTGATAGACAAAAAAAAATGCAAATCGAAATATACTACTATAATTAACAACCAAATAAGATAATAAAGTTAATATTTATTAAGACATCTACAATACTTTGAGAAAATATGGTTTAAAATGCACACATTTACGCTCAAATTATCATATTTCTGCTCCAATGTGGAAGAAAAAACCTACGAGGATGAAATTGTGGATGAAAAACCAATGCAGACTGGAAATAATATTGGAGACGAAGACGGTGATGTTCTTGAAGATTTCGACGATCTACTAGTAGAATCGGGAAGGTTTGTTGAATCTAACGATGAAGAAATGCCATCAAAGAGACAAAAACTAATGGATGATTAGAATTCAATATAAGGTATTTATAAATAACAAGATTAATGTATTTAAAAATATTATAATGAATAACGTAATCAGTATAAAGTATCTAAATTCAATAGCACAATTTACATGTATATTTATTATATTAACCTGTGTCAGTTAGCTCCTAGCCAACCAGCTCCAAAACCAGCCGAAGCTCAAAGCGCCAGCGGTCGAAAAATATTCTTTTACGACAATAATTATTCGTTCTAAATTTTAATTTAAAGATTTACAACATCTTCAGTATAATTTTAATTATTTATTTACAACCATATATGTAATGTTGTCATTACTAACGTCATTAAAGGTTGGGAAGTGTCACATTACACACCTCTACTTCCCGCCCTCACTTCCCGCCCTCACTTCCCGCCCTCATTTCATCTATTCTAGATGAATATTTTTTATATTAAAAAAAAAAAAAAAAAAAAAAAATAACACAGTGTTTGACAAATTTTATAATACCTATTTAATGGCAAACAATAAAAAACAACAATGATCTAAAATATAACACTACTTATTGATATTTATTATTCGCGAATTTAATATCCGGCTTTATCTGACATTTATTTATTTTGGTGACAGTTGTTTACCCTGTAATCACAGTAACAATATATTTACCTACTTGATTATTCTGAGAAAACCGCGCGCTTGGTAATTTGTCGTTAAATGTAATATTTTAGGTATGTTCAGAACAAAACAGAGATTTATTAACTTTGATCGAAATATGATGGTTGTAAATAAAATAGTATACAAACCTCGGTAGGAAGTTTCATTCCTGTCTCGAGATCATAGCTAACCTCGACGCTTCGCGTCTCGGTGATCTAATCTCACGACTATTTCAATATCCCTTATACAATTATATTAAGGAATTTAAAGTGATGCAATATCAATATTTTTGGAGCTGGAAAAAAATTTGTTTTTTCTTTAATTTTATCAAGCCAATCGATAGGTAATACAAATACAGACAACTTTTTTATATTCCATTTTGAATCCTATACGTGTAATAAGGATTTTAGAGAGGGGTTGATATTTCAATATTTTTGGAGCTGAAAATTTTTTTATTTTTTCTTTAATTTTATTACGCCAATCGATAGATAATACAAATACCAACAATTTTTTATTCCATTTTGAATGCTTAGACATACATTAAAGATTTTAGAGAGGGGTTGAAATTTCAATATTTTTGGAGCTGGAAAATTTTTTTTCTTTTTTTTAATTTTATTACGCCAATCGATAGATAATAAAAATACAAATAATTTTTTTTGTTCCATTTTGAATGTTATATATGAAATAATGATTTTAGAGAGGGGTTGATATTTCAATATTTTTGGAGCTGGAAAAAATTTTGTTTTTCCTTTAATTTGATTACGCCAATCGATAGATAATACAAATACAAACAGCTTTTTTTAATTCCATTTTGAATGCTATATATAAAATAGGGATTTTAGAGAGCGGTTGATATTTCAATATTTTTGGAGCTGGAATAATTTTGTTTTTTCTTTAATTTTATTATTCCAATCGATAGCTAATACAAATACCAACAATTTTTTTTCCATTTTGAATGCTATACATGTATTAAAGATTTTAGAGAGGGGTTGAAATTTCAATATTTTTGGAGCTGGAAAAAAATTTGTTCTTTCTTTAATTTTATTACGCCAATCGATAGATAATACAAATACCAACAAATTTTTTTATTCCATTTTAAATGCTATACATAAAATAAGGATTTTAGAGAGGGGTTGATATTTCAATATTTTTGGAACTGGGAAAAATGTAGTTTTTACTTTAAATTTATTACGCCAATCGACAGATAATATAAATACAAACAACTTTTTTTAATTTCATTTTGAATGGTATACATGAAATAGGGATTTTAGAGAGGGGTTGATATTTCAATATTTTTGGAGCTGGAAAAAAATTTGTTTTTTTCTTTAATTTTATTACGCCAATCGATAAATAATACAAATACCAACAACTTTTTTTTATTCCCATTTGGATGCTATACATAAAATAAGGATTTTAGAGAGGGGTTGATATTTTAATATTTCCTTTTTTTGTGTATACCATTCAAAATGGAATATAAAAAAGTTATTGGTATTATCTATGGATTGTCGTATTAAAATTAAAGAAAAAACAAATTTTTTTCCAGCTCCAAAAATATTGAAATTTCATCCCTTTAAATTCCTTAATATAATTCTATAAGGGATAATGAAAATAATTAAAATTATACTGAAGGTGTCGTAATCTTTAGATTAAAATTTAGAACGAATAATTATTGTCGTAAAAGAATATTTTTTGACCGCTGGCGCTTTGAGCTCCGGCTGGTTTTGGAGCTGTCTGGCTAGGAGCTAACATGACACAGGTTATATATTATGAGATTTTCTATGACATAAATGTAATTAGAATTTAATAAATCAACTTTTTTACTGAAAAAAATTGCAGCAGTCACATTTTTTAGATGAAATCCCCTTTAAATCCTATCTTTACTATTTAGAACAACTATTTTCGCATGTTTTTTGCAATCTTTATGTTTTATGGATTTGTAATTTTTTTGTTTATCAATGTAACATGAAATCTTACGTTTTTCGAGTAATTAAAGTGCAAATTTTAATAAATAGCTCAAAATTGTACATAATGATTAAAAAAAAAATTTTGGATTCGAGTTTTTTCGTTTCTTTGCATTTTCTGAGTATATTTACCATAGTAATGTATATATTTTTTACACCATCAGAAAGTAGAAATTTTAACGAACAAAAAGCCCACCGACTTTTTTAAAAAAGCAGATATTTTGACGAAAGAATTTTCGATTGAAAATTAGGGTGCTTTTTCGATATTAAGTCAAAATAAGGTGAAAAAATAAATATTTTAAATCAAAAAAATTACAGTGTGTTTGGGACATAAAAAGGTAAATTTTCACCAAATTTTGTGAAAAAAACTTTTTTTTTTGTAAAAGATAAAAATAAAAATACAAAAACTTGGTTATTTGAATTTTTCACATAAATTTTGAGGTTATGTGAAAAAAGTGTAACGACAAAAGTGATAGATCTTTTTATTACCTACAACTTTTCTATTTAATTTTTTTTCATAGGACTTGTAGTTTTGCCGGAAATGAAGATAAACCGTTTTTTACCCTTAAAAAACTCACCCCCTTCCACTTCCGTACCTCAGATCGCCCGTAAATTAATTTTCCTTTCATTTTTGTTATATTATCTTCCTTTTTTAATGGGTTTCATCCTACTATTATTTTTTTTTTCACTTTTTACCATTTTCAAAGGCTTCAGCCCTGGTCTATTTTCTTCACTCCTTTATTTGTATTATTTGGTATAACCATGTTTTCCCGACCCTTCCTTTTCTTTTTCCACGCAGAAACCCCGTATTTAATCATTTGTTTTATGCTTAGATAAAAGAGACCGAAGATGTAACATTGCACACTGCGCATGTTGTCTGTTTTAACTCCAAGTAACCCACCAATTGACAATCATTGTCTGCACGACGCCACCCGAATTGCTCCGATTTCCCATTCAACGCTCACCTCCGCCTGAGTTCAGTCACCATTGACAGCTGTTTTTTGATTTATTTGTTGGTGTTTTAGCAATTTAAAGTATTGTAGTTATTTAATTTTAAACTCAAAATGCCACGATGTATCTTGAGAAATTGTATATACTTATAATACAAGTACCAATGTTATGAAATATAAAAAATATATTCGTTTTCAGCGGTAAATATTTATTAACGTTTTGACATAAAGCGCCATAATCCTTTGAGCTGAATACATCAGATCCGCATTAAGGGGTTTCAATAAATATTCATCAAATACATATTTCAAAAAACAGATTTCGTATTACTTACATAAATTTACAAAAGGATAAAATTTTAAATATTTACTTTAAATAAGAAGTAAATAGACTTTGTTGCTAACGAAATTTTGTTTATAAAAAGTAGTTTTATAAGAATATTTACTAAAGGTGGTTTTTAGCTCTTTTTGGTAGATAAATAAGAAGTAAAGAGCATAGTTGATTAGTAGTATTTTATAAGAATATTAGATAAAATACAAGATGAATTACTTAAAATTTCAAGATAATGTAATAATCGATTTTAAAGGAAATACAAAAAGAAAGTAGATTTATTCAAAATAATCCATTGATTGAAAATAATCGATTTTTTGGAAAAAGTCGATTTTTTGGAAAAAGTCGATTTTTTGGAAAAATCGATTTATCGTTTAATCGGTGTTTTAATGAATCGATTATTTTCAATTAATCGATTATTTTCGATTAATCGATGATTTTAGATTAATCTATTATTTTCAAATTTTCAAAGGTATTATATGAAAATAATTGATTGATCGAATATAATTCGTTATTTTATATAACTAATATTTCGGTTATTTTTTTAGAAATATCGATTTATCGGTTAATCAGTTTTTTAATAATTATTAATTATTTTCGATTTATTGATTTTTATCGATTATTTTAGATTTTTCAAAGATAATAGAAAAATCAATTTTAAAGGAAATATGAAAAGGATTATTAGAAAATAATCGATAATTCGGTTATTTTTTTGGAAAATAGATTTATCGTAGAATCGGCTTCTTAACTAATCGATTATTTTCGGTATTTCAATGATAATCTAATCATCGATTTTAAATAATATACAATAAAAATAAATTATTGATAATAATCGACTATTTTCGATTAATCGATTATTTTCGAATTTTCAAAGGTATATGAAAATAATCGATTGATCGAATATAATCGGTTATTTTATATAACCAATATTTTGGTTATTTTTTAGAAATATCGATTTATCGGTTAATCAGCTTTTTAATAATGAATAATTATTTTCGATTTATCAATTTTTATCGATTATTTTCGATTTTTCGAAGATAATAGAATAATCAATTTTAAAGTAAATATGAAAAGGATTATTAGAAAATAATCGATAATCCGGTTATTTTTTTGGAAAATAGATTTATCGTAGAATCGGCT